AAAAAGATTTTCTTTTGTTAGGTAGTGTATTAATTCCCCCTTGGTTTTTCTTTATGCCGTGGTTCTTTTTCAAGGGTTTTGTTTGAACCGAGTGTAGTTAGTTTTTATTTTTATTAGGAGTAAAAAACCTTGTGCTATCATTTGAATTGAAAGCAATATCTCTTAACTTTATTATATCTTGTATAAGTAACTTAAATTATTTGATCTTAACTTTGCTAAACTGCTTTGACTATAGTGTCTTGATAGTCCAATCCTGAGTGAGTTATGTGCCATGTGTGTGCGAGGTTTTATGTTATTCTGTGTATTGCATTTGATGTATAGAACTTGCCCCGTATGTTTGCCAAGCGAAATAATAGTTTTATTCATTCTTGGAAGTGATATAGGCATCTCATTGTTGAGCCAGTTATATGGTATTACCCACCTAATTGTTATGTATCTTAGTTGACCCCGTTGAGCCTGTAATCCTGTTTCTTTGGCAACCAAATTACAAGCCTTATCCAATTATTTGAATTGACCATCTATTTGAATATTTTACCTCTCGTGAGCACTTGAATTTGTTATGAACTTTGTAAAAGTTAAAGTGTGGGGTGATTGGGTTGGCTTTTGAGTGGAACTAATGAAATAAGGAGAAAAGTGCACTATTTTAAAAAAGTAAGAGCCATTTGAATTGGAAAAGAAAAGAAAATAAAAAAGTGTATGATTCTAATAAATATTCCTTGATAGTGGTAACTTGAAGTAATTGTTCTTAAAGAAGTAGGGGGTTAATGTATATTGATGTGAAGGCAGAGTTATGGTTGGACATAAGTGTGGGGTTTTGAATAGTTAATTGTATGTATTAAAGTACTTAGGGAGGTGTAGTCACTCTTATATCCAAATGTATTGTCACGACCCAAACCGATGGTCCGCGACGGACGCCCGGTACCTTACTCAACCAAGTACCAACGTAATGTATCTTTCTTATTACATCATCATTTACACGTGACATACGGGCCTAATAGGCCAACATCATCATTTATAAACTCAAAATATAGGTCGACAAGGCCGTACAATCTTTCACGTACACGACATATGTCTACAAACCTCTAAGAGTATATAATTATCATAAAGGTCGGGACAGAGCCCCGCCATATCAAACCATACACATCTAAATCATACTGACCAAACAAGCAACTCCGGAGCAAATGGAGTGCACCAATATCTTCTGCTGAGCTGATCGCCTACTTGGAGAACTCTCAACCTGTCTATCGAGACCCGCGGACATGGAGTGCAGCATCCCCAGGAAAAAGGAACGTCAGTACAAATAATGTATCGAGTATGTAAGGAATGAAAATCAGTAAATAATAGACATGAGAGAAACATGGTGTAAAAGACTCGACATGTACGTGTGCATAGCTCTGTGAGTCATTTTATTTTTTATAATATCATGCATATGCGAATAAATATCATATCATGCATAGGTATATGCATTCATAGCATCATCAAGCCTCTGAAGGCATCCCATCATATCATTTCAGCCACTATGGGCAAATCGTCAACGTATACCAGTTGATCAGGTGGTGGTGCGTATATAACGCCATAACCTTTTCCCATATTCCATATACATATAATATACATATATAAGCGTATATAACGCCATCTGGTCATGGGTCAATGTATACGTATAAATGCATGAAATGCATAAGAAATACGTTAATAATATTTTCTCAGAATGTCATAAAAATAGTATGCCTTAAGAAATACGTTAATAAGATTTTATCGAAATGTCATAAAAATAATATGCATGTCGGATAAATTTTATCAAATACGTATTTTTCTGAGACCCATGAACAGAAGATATAATGATAATTCACATGGGGAATCAAGAATATAGACACCCCTAATATTTCTATGAATAGAGTCATTTATGGAAATTGTGCATTTGCTCATTTCGTTCGTGTCGTATAGATCATGCCAAAAGAAAGAAGGGATAGCCTTAACATACCTGGAGTAGGAAAAAATCCGTATGATATTCTTGGAAAAGGTTGCACCGTACTCCTTTAGAATCGCAAAATCTCACGTTGCTACGGTGCTAAGAAATCTCGTTGGAATTATTCTTGTTGGATTTGAGATTAACTTGAAATAATCAAAGGGATCATGTGTATGCTTACGGAATTCCAAACTTTATTGGAATTGTTTGGATTTGAGATTAACTTGAAATAATCAAAGGGATCATGGGTGTGCTTACGGAATTCCAAAATTTATTGGAATTGTTTGGATTTGAGATTAACTTGAAATAATCAAAGGGATCATGGGTATGCTTACGGAATTCCAAACTTTATTGGAATTGTTTGGATTTGAGATTGACTTGAAGTTCCAAGGCCAAACATTAGATATCCTATGGAAGTGTCATACACATGACACTTAAATGGCCACCTTGCCTTCCAAGTTACGAGTCACTTAATGTATTTCAAAGGGCTGCCACGTTTTGTTTTGCTTTAGTCTTTATCCAAAGACTTCAATCAATCCACCACCAATTATTAATTAACTAGGTAATGTTCCATTAGCTAATAAATAACCAATTACCCACATAATTAAGAATTATTTTTGCCTACTTAAAATACTAGTCACTTTTTACATACCTTATACTCCTTACTATTATGGTCATGTGGTACCTTGTATGGCACTAGTCCATAAATACCGAGTATTTTAGCTCGGGCCGTATTTTATCCCAACATGTCAAACTTGGACGAAAATTCATTTTCTTTGACTTGCTTCCCCTCTCACCTTCACGAATTTACTCATCACTTGTTTGAAATAGAATAATGCTTATAATCTCAAAATAATCTCATTCCCGAACTTACGTCGATTAACTTACGATAAAACTTTAACATACGAAAATGCGGGATGTAATATGTATCATACCCACCCCGCAGCCTACATTATAACCAATTAAAGTCCTACTTGATTCTTGACTGAATGAGCTCAATTAGTAGAGTAGTACATTACGGGCAAGCCTATGGTACGTCTTTTGTGGTATATGAATGTTACTTCTGAGAGTGAGTGAATTCTTTCTATCTTGAGTTCCTGATTGTTCTTAAATTTCATTATGTGTGGAACTACTCTCTATTGTTGTGTGAGGGCACTTGATTCATGAAGAAAAGGTAATGTCGCTGACCTCTATGTTAGAGTAAGTGAGCGGGTTGTGAATAATGCGTGGTGCTTGTGAGTCAAATCTTGAGGTGGGGATGTTACGGTATTGTGCTTAATCTGTTTTAATTATTCTTGATATAATAAGTTATGAGAGTTGTTGAAAAACAGTCGTATCTATATAAAGTGTAGTTGGATTACTCGAGGACGAGCAATGTTTTAAGTGTTGGGTGTTGATGGTATGCTATAATCTCGTATTTTAGTCGCTTATTGCACTCCAATTTACTGCACTTCATTTGTTTTGAGCTTTAATTGATAGTGTTTTGCACTTATTATGTGTTTTATGCCTTGTAGGAATGATTCCGAGCTATGTAGATGTTATGAAATGAATTTGAGTGATTTGGAGCTTTGAAGTATGAGTAAAAGCCCAAGGGATTAGGCCGAGATCGTGTTCGGGGGTCTAGGACCAAGTCTGGACGTCAAAACGCAAGAAAAATCTGTACTCTAAGAAAAGTGCACTAGTGCGGCGCGTGGCGCGCCGCGGCTGTGAAAAATTCGTACTGCCTGTTAGAACTAACTCTCTGAATTTTCCCACTAATGCCCCACATGGCGCGTCGCTCCCATGCGGAGCGCCTGTGCAATTTTTACAGAGTAATTTTCCTATTTCGGCTAGGAGAAAGTGATTTCATCTAGGCCCGACCCTACTTGGTATAAATACATGAAAAAATATTATTTCCGAGACTTTTGACACACTTTAGACCTAAGGAAGCTAAGGAGGAGTTGGAGGAGCAAAAGTACAAGGATTTCATCATTCCTTCCTCACTCAAGACCCGAGTTTGGATTGAATTTATGTTTTCCTATACTTTAATTTTATTTGTGATGAATTTCTCCATATCTATGAAGTAGTTCCTTTTAGGGTTTGATGAATTTGGTGTATTGATGATTGTTTGTGGATTATAACTCTAATTTTATATATTGAAGCATTTTTGGATGATTTAACTGTTGCATCTATATTCACTTGTTCATGTAATCGAGTGTGGCATAACTTGGGATATTCTTGCATTATATTGTTGGTTAAGTTCATTAATTCTTCTTAGTAATCGAAATAGGCTAGTTGAATCATTGATTAAACCTAGTTAGGAGGATAATCGAGAGAGGTTTTCCTAAATACCAATCCACTATGCATTCTTGTATATCTTCACGTGCTTAATGGAGAGAGGAGTTTTTGCTGAACGTTTGAACTAATAATTAAGTAAATCCGAGAGACTCACTTGAACATTACAAGTGAATTATCTAGAGTTAGATCCAGAACAATTATCTTGCACATATCCTATCAATACCCTATATTCTCCCACTAATAACTGTGAGCACCTAATTTTTGACCATAATCGGATTTTTCACTACTTTTTAGTATGTAAATATTCTTTGAGTTTTATCTACATATTTTAGCTTTTGTTTTACCTTTTATAAATGTTTCTTAGGAAATTAAAACTCACAAAAGATTCACATTTTTGAATTACTAGCTTTGTTTTAATTTGCAAAAGAAAAAAAATTCACAAAAATATATTTTTCTTCTAATTTTGGTAAGACTAGCAATTTTATAACTTTTTCCTTAATAGTTTCTATTTTCTTTCTAGCTTTTAGTTTTAGTGTAGTATCGTTAATTTTGATTATATTTAATAAATAAAAAAAAAAGAATCAATGCAAAAATGTCACCTAGCAAGATTCTTCCGTATCTTTGGTAACAAGCTCACATGCTTTCATTCAAAACTCACATGCAGATATACACTCTTATTTTTTTGGCCATCAATTAATACCTATACCTACACCTATATATCTTCCATTCAATCACACAATTAAAACAGCACACACAAAAAAAGGAGAACAACCGGAGTGGAGAAGAAACGGAAAACAGAGGGAGTGGATAAAAAAGCTGTTCTGGGAGGAGCAAAAAAACAGAAAAAGAGAAAGGAACGGGAAAGGCGAAGAAAAGAAAAACTTTCAACAAAGCTTGAACCAACATCATCTCCTTCATTTCCCTTCCGTCATTGAACACAAAAAATACAGCCACTATTACTCCATTTTCTTCCACCCAAAGACCACCATAGATCACCATTTTCCTCCGCCTAAAATCACTATTTTCTTTCCTCCATTTTCAGCTATGTAAGGCCACCTTTAACCACTGAAAACCAGCACAACTAACCCCCAAAATCAGCACCTAAAATACACCCTTTAACACCCAAAACACAGCAGTAAAGCAGTAAGTCCTCATCAAAACCTCATCTTCTTCACGTCGTTTTCATCACGAAAACATCCCTTTAATCCAGCCAAAACACCAGCTGAAACACCCATCAAAACTACCAAAACCCAGCTGCCTTCTTCTACCCAAAACGACCCCAAAATCCCAGTCAAAGACCAGCTCTGAAACACCCCAAGCAGCCCCCAAAAAATGCGGCAAAACGAGATGAGTTCGAGCTCTAAAGTTGAGTCGTCGAGGTCGAGTTCAAGCTCCCTCCGTTGATTTTGGTCGAGTGTCGTTCCCTATTAAATGTCCAAATTTAGTCCAGCTTTGTTGTTTGAAGCAATTTAATATGAAGGTCCATTTTCTTCACCTTATGCTCTGAAGTTCCATTTCTTAATTACTGCTGTTGTTTCTCTTTAATTAGATATTTTCTTTTTTGTGATTTGTTAAAATATTGTTTCTCTGGTTATTCTCTTTTGATTGCTTTGTTTGCTCTTTTGATTTGTTTATTTTATTTGAAACTAGATTAATGAATGCTTGAAACTATGAATTTGTCCACTTACAAGCTAATGTGAGCATGATATTCCGATAGCTTAATAATTTCCCTTTCTAATCTGTTTGATTGTTGTCTTTTCCGATCAATTGTGTGATATGGCTAAATTGCATTATTTTGATATTTGAGAGAGAATTAGAATTGAGATTTTCCTTTGGTTTGGGGAATAGGATGGGCCATTTTCTTTAAGACAATTTGTTGGGTCTTAGGTGATGTAGAAGAGATTTGGGTCAAAAGCAGTAATTAGACTATTATTTGTTAACTTACTTGGGCCGGGTGTTCACTGGACTTGAGAGGTCAGATTTGAGGTCTTGAATAAATTTGGGCCAAATAAGATGAATTCTTTAAGGCCCACGAGAAATAATTGAATAAGCTAGCCCACCTTTCCTTAACTAGTTTACTTCATTTCTTCCAAAATAATATCTTGTCCATAATTCTTGGCCTCACAATAATCTTAAGTAAATTATGAATACGATTAGTATGCTTTAGGCACGCTATTAGTTAAATCAATCATCGTGATTATTTATACGTTCGCGTGACATGACCATAATTCCCAAACTAAAATCGAAGTATGCGTTCACGCAACTTTGAGCGAAACGATCTTTATAATAATAAAGTGTTATTAATTGTGTACACGTACGCGTGGCATGATTTTTAGCGCACTAAATAAAACGGATTCACACACACGTGGTTCGTTTCAAGATAATTCCATAACGCCATAATCAAGTAATTTAAAAGCGGTGAAAGATAAAATGCACATAGGTTCTAAAACACGTAATTAAATAATTAATTAAGCCAGGTATGATTAAAGCGGCCGTGCTAAAATTATGAAATTCGGGAGTGCCTCACATCTTCTCCCGGGTTAACATAATTCCTTACCCGATCTTCTGATTTTCGCGGACTTAAACAGAGTCAATTTCCTCGATTTGAGATTTTAAAATAAATTGGTGACTTGGGACACCATATTAATTATCCCAAGTGGCGATTGTAATTAAATAAATAATCCCATTTCGAATAATCTTGTTTCGATTGTCATTAGTCAATAGCTTTAGATTCTTAGTTAATTTTAGTTATTCATCATATAAATCTCAATTATTGATTCTCCTCGATAACAATCAAGTTAGAAACTACGAAAATACCGTTTAAATCCAATCCATGTGGATACAATATTATACTATACTATATTTAACTAGCGAGCATAATTTAAGTGTGTATTCGTCAAACATCCTATCATAACATCCTAGCCTCAAGGCTCGACTCAAAAGCACCACGTATTTGTCAAAAACTTGCTCACTTACTGTAACACAGAGGCCAAAGACATTACCTTTCCTTCGCAAATTATGTGAGCCTCACACTAAAGATAGAGAGTAGTTCCACACACACTAAAATTCAAGAACAAATAGCAATTCAAGATAGAGAGAATTCACTCACTCTCAGAAATAAAATTCATGCGCTACAGAAAACGTACCATAGGCTTGCCCGTAGTGTAATATTCTACTAATTCGAGCTCATTCAGTCAAAGATCAAGCATGGCTTAATTTGGTTGTAATGTAAGCTGCGGGATAAGTAGGATACATATAGATAATAGTGACTACACCTCCCTAAGTACTTTAATACATACAATTTTAAAATTAAAATCCCACACTTATTTTGAACCAAATCCCAACCTTCATACATACTAGCATCAACTCCCAATTCTTTAAGCACAAACAAGATGAGAACTACTACTAGCAAGGAATCCATTTTTTTTCTTTTCTAAGTTCTGATTTTTTTTCTTTTCAAGGAAACTCACTTTTTTTTCCTTTCAATTCCCTACAAGTGGCTCTCACAATTATTTCCAACAATGCACCTTTCTCCTTTTTCAATAGTTCCACTCAAAAACCCGACCATACCTCACTTAGCTTTTACAAGCTCATAACAAAATCAAGCGTTCAAGAGAGGTAGAAGGTTCAAATAGATAGTCAATTCAAACAAGGATCATGCTTGTTGTGTGGTTGTCAAATAAGTAGGATTATAGGCTCAAAGGGGATAACTAGGATACACAATAATTAGGTGGGTAAAACATATAATTAGCTCAACAAAGAAATGCCTATATCACTTCCTAGACTGAACAAGATTACTATTTCTCTTTGCAAACACACGGGGGCAAGTTCTAGACATCAACCGACATGCACAGAATATCAACAAAATCTCTCACACACATTGACACATAACTCACTTAGAATCGAATCCATCCTAACTCTCTAGTCAAAGCAGTTAAGCAAAGTCAAAATCAAACAATTTAAGGCACTTATACATGAGTCAAGAACTGAGCCTAGAAATCACAACTAAGGCACTCACTACTCTCAAGGTACAACAACGTCAAGAAAAGTCATCTCCATTTAATATCATAGCACAAGACTTCACTATTCCTAATAAAAGAAAAACTAACTACTCCAGTTCAAACAAAACCCTTGGAAGAGAACCGCGGCACAAAGAAAAATCAAGGGGGAATTGTTACACTACCTAAGAAAACAAAACAAAAATAAATGGCTAAAATATTTTCTTCGACTTTAATCCCTCAAGAAGACGGCTGAGGAATTCCATCGTCGGGAAAAATTAATTTTTTTTTTCCGAACGAAATAAAAAACATATATGTACATATTTACATCATCCCCCACCCCACACTTTAAATTGTGGCCATGCCGCTGTGACACACAAATGAAAAGTAAGAGGTAAAGAAAACTTCCATGATTCATCTAGTCGGGGTTTGAATCGAAGTCGGGATCTCCTTTGCACACCCGACCGAGTGCACACATCCATACTGAGAGTTTTTTTTCCGCCTTCTTTGGGTACACCCGACACTTATCAGTTTCACTCTTTCCAATTTGCTCTTTCATGGCGCCCCTTTCTCCTTCCATTTTGAAGATTAGCCTTTCATCCCCCACTTTGAGCATGAGCTGCCTTTCCTGAATATCTAGAATTTTACCCATAGCCAAGAAGGGTATTCCTAAAATCAGCGGGACCTCCCTATTCTCCTCTGTGAAAGGTATATTCACATGCACCTGCTTGAGCACTTCTAGAAAGCGCCCGAATTATTTGTTCAACCTTTCTCTTCTTTGCTTCTAGGGGAAAGGTGTAGAGCATGATTGTCCACCTGTCATTCTCTTCTGTCTCATTATTTGTTGCATTATCATCCTTCTTCTTTTTCTGAGATCTAATCTTCCCCTTCTTTTTCAGACCATCATCTACCATTCCTGTACCTTTTTGCACGTTATCATTTTTCTGCTCTTCCACAATCTCCACCTGTCTTTCAATCGGCTCATCGTTTTGATTTGCTATGGAATCCTCCAACTCATGCCCACTCCTTAAAAACACTGCATTTATTGTCTCTTTTTGATTTCTTTCAGTGTCAGCAGGGAGTGTCCCTGGAACCCTCTCAGACAATAGACTAGCTAGTTGCCCAACCTGTCTTTCCAGGTTTCGAAAGGCTGTGCCCAATTCTTTGATAGTTGGACATGTTCTAGTATAGCCGAGCTATGGGTTTCAAGCCTCTCATATGTCTTAATAATAAAGGCATCATTAGATCTTCCATGGTAGACTGATTAGACTTTGGAGGCTGATATTGCTACCTCTACTGATTTTGAAAACCTGGAGCTCCTTGTCCTTGGGATCTGGAGTTATTCTTGTGCCATGAGTTCAGGCCACCACTTGGTGAACTCCAAGAAAAGCTTGGGTGCCTCTGTCCCATAGAGTTAAAATTATTACCACTCTGGTAGTTGTCTCTGTCAAAGCTTCCCACAACATTTACCACTTCATCTGCAGCTAAGGCCTGACACTTATGCGTTGGATGTCCCATTCCAGAGAAATCACAAACTGGTGATGGTTGGCTCTGGACCTTGGCTAAGGTCAACTTTCTCATCTCTTTGGCCATGGCGTCTAGTTGGGCTTGCACTACTGTGTTAGAATCTACTTGATGAACCCCAACTGATTTTCTTCTATCATTACTCTCTGCAGGCTACTGGTTAGCATCTTCAGAGAGCTCATCACGAATTATAACAATCTCCTCAGGGGTCTTCTTCATTAAAGGACCTCCAACTGCAGTGTTCAGAGTTCGTCGTGAGGGAGGTTTCAGTCCCTCCTAAAAGTCTTGGAGTTGCATCCACAATTCAATCCCATTATGTTTCGGTGTCCATCTGGGAGAAGTTGTGAATTTCCCTTCTGAATTTCATTGTTTTAGCAGTTGAGAAGTATTTGTCAAGAAACTTTTTAATCATATCTTCCCATGTCCGGATCGACCCCATTGGTAAACTACGAAGCCAGTGCTTTGAGTTATCCTTCAGAGAAAAGGGGAATGCCCTTAAATATACTGCATCTTTTGACACTCTATTGTACTGGAAGGTGTTCATGATTTCCTCAAAATCTGACAAGTGAGTGTTAGGGTCTTCATTCACCTTCCATATGAAGACAGTTGTTCTGAATAGTTTGAAGTAAGCCTTGCTTCAACTCGAAATTATTCGCTGCTAGTGGTGGAGGTCTGACACTGGACAGTCTCTAATTGTAGACTGGTCTGGCATAATCACACAGTGCTCTACCAGGCCTAGGTACCGCATTCTCGAACTAGTCTTCAACCAATGGTCGATTTAGATTGAATCTTCGACCCCCATCATCGTCGACGGTCTCATCAGCAGCTCTACGGGATGCCTCAGCTGTTATCCATGCAACTTCTTATCTCTGTTGTGCTGCCTCTCTTTCAGCTAAATCTACTTTGTCCTCACCATTTTTATCCATGTGTTCTTGGTTAAAGGTTGCCCCAAAAATTT